CATCAATAACAATACATTATTGATACATAATGATTAAATGTTAATCTGTATTATCATAAAAAACTGCAGGACAGCAACTACCTACTGTAGTGTGCATAAGCAAAATGAGGACCAATGCCCAAACCCAGTTTGATGTTTTCACTTTGCCTGCAAAAGTCAGATCAGATATAAACAAACAAACAAACAAATAGTGACATAAACCCCATCTAGCAATGTTGGTCACTATTCTCCCAGGGTCTGGATCCACAATTTGAAAAATCCTTGGATTAATAACCATGGTGTCCAAGTTAAATTTGGATGCTTTATTCAATGGCTGTAACTACAAGCTATTGACATAGTGCTCTTTGCATTACACAATTTTGTTTATTTACTTGAGAAATTTTTTTAAAACAGCTTGGCTTCAGGTTTTCTTGTTTGTCACATGTACATTAACATTGGAAATTTTTAATCAAAACATATTAGTATTTAGTATGTCTCTACTTTTCAAAGAATAAAAACCCTCTGTTTTTCTCTATGTCTTTTAAAACTTTGCAGAACTGTTTATTCCCACTTCTATTTTGCTCGACAGACAGGAGTCTCAAGAAGCATTAAAACCTGAAAACAATCAATCAAGAGTTCTTTTCCCCCCTCTCTTCTGTCTTTCTCACCTTTGGGTTAACTGTCCTTCTTTCTTCTTCTCCTTGCTTTCTGTGAACAGCTGTTGTTTGGCTTCATCTATATTTAGTTCCTGACTTTCTTGCTGTCTTTTGTGGCCTTTTCTCTCCTGCTACAACCCTCTTGCTTATAATTACAACAGAATCCCAGAAAAGGATGGTTGAATGGTTGGAGGATTTGCGTTGGACTTAATTTCTCAGCTACTGATGTTACGTCCATGTCTCTCTGTTGAGGGCTATTCCAGGCTGCTGTTCTGGTTTGGGGTGGTAATGGTGATGCGGAGTTCTATAAACATACACATACATACATATGTATATATATGCACATATACACAAAAGACATGCACATGTGACTTAATAAAATAGACCATGCTTTTTTACAACAGCAGTGAAAACAGAGGGTATGTATCTGATGAGTCACCATAGCCCTTGTTCATTCACAGTGTGCCAAATTGACTGCAAGTGACTCAGATATAGAAGAGTGGGAACAGTAGCAGTGGCAGTGTTACTTTGGAAAGTGCAAAAGAACCTGCATAAGTAATGCTGAGTTCTACCCAATTTGCCAATCTGTGAGAAATCTGTCTCTGCCTCTCTCCTTCTCCCTCTCTCTCTCTGAATTGAGGCTTGAAAGCTGTGCCTTCTGCTTGAGAAGACCTTCCACATGAATCCTAGAAGGGCACTTAATATAGCCATGTATTGCTCATTTATTTATTATTTATTTATTATTGCAATTTATATGCCGCCATTCTCCCGAGGGACTCAGGGGGGCTTACAAAAACAATATCCAATACAAATCACAATAAAATTAAAATCAACAACCCAATTAAAACAGTTTAAAATTATAACAAAATCATTAATGTTGTAAGGCTGAGAGCCTGTATAGGGATAACATTTCAAGGCTAGTAAAACTACCAGTCCTCTGGCTCAAAATTATCAGTACATCAGAGTGACAATAAGTTTTAAGCTAAAGTACATTGTGAGATCTTACTTTGGAAGAGCATCTGATTTCTGCAGCCAACATGCTGGGATCCCACCTAGATTGGAGACAGATTGACTCCAGATGCAGGTTGTTTCATCTATCCATCATTTGGGGGGTTAGATGATATTTCTTTTGCCCCTGTCCAGTAGATTACAGTCATTATTGGCCTATAAGCTCATAGCTATTTTTGAAAACTGTTCCTTGATGAACCTTGCCATGATGTTTTTGTTTTATGTCCACTTGAGACTGGTTTTTTTTTTCTAAGGAATTCTCTACGCTGATAGAGGTACATATTTTTTCATTGCAATTTTGCAATTATGTTTGTGGATTTAGGAATCCAATGTTTGGATTGCTAAGGATTGACTTTAGCAACCCCTAGGACTTAACAAGCTAAGGAAAAAGTAATATCCTTAGCAAGCCCTGTACCAGTGATGGCTAATCTTTTTGCCATCGCGTGCGAAACCAGGGGGATCACGGGTGGTGGTGGTGTCACGTGCATGTGTGCCCACACCCATAATTCTATGCACTCTGCCCCTCACACATGCATGCGCAACCCCATCCCATGCTCCCCACTTTTTGCAGAGTGGGCCCGGTAGGCCCGTTTTTTTCTCTCCCCAGGCTCCAGAGGCTTTCTAGGGGAGGCCCTCTGGAGGCCAGAAACAGCCTGTTTGCTGACTTCCGGTGGGCCCAGAAGGCCCAAAACTCAGCTGGCCGGCACGTGCATGTATACCAGAGCTGAGCTCACGTGCCCATTGATAAGGCTATGGCACATGTGCCATAGGTTCGCCATCACGGCCCTATACCTTGGAAGGAAAATGCCAAACTTTATTTTTAAATTAAGTTTTGTTCTATAGAATTCCTACAGACACACAAGTTTAATTAGCTGGGAATTTCCCTCACTTCTCTTCAAAGCAACCCTCTTAATGTATAAAGATACAGAGCTCAGTTAACCGCACTTTAATTCCCCCCCCCCCCCCCGATCTTTTGCCCTCAACTGGTTCTCATTATAGCCTAATCTAAATGCGTCAGTGTGTGTGAGTGTTCAAGATGGCAGTCATGACTGTGTGATTGAAGCCCTGTCGCTTTGTTATGTGTGTCGCACATATGTAAAAAAGGACAGAGCTTTGATTGCCTGGGAAGAACTGCCATCTAAATTTCCTCCCTCTGCAAGCCCAATCTGTTGATACATCTGGGCTAGGCTACATATTTGCTGAGATAGTGAGGTAAGATTTTCTACTAGTGGTGAAGGAGGCAGTGCTTGCAAATTGCTTCCTTATAAAAATATAACATAAAACTCCAAGTAAACATAACCAGAAGAAATGAGCAATAGCTGTCTTGCTGCTTTTTGACACAATTTTTTTTATTTGTAGAGAGTTTTTCATAAATAGGACGTTTTAAAAATAGCAGCTCTTGCTACCATCTTAGTTTGCAGCATATGTGGCCTAGGCCACCAAGGATTTTATTTTACAAAATTTATCTGTGATGAATACTTCTTGTGTCATTTTTCCAGACCTTTGAATCAAGGCCCAAATATGTAAAATGGTAACATTGAAAACCAATAATTTGTGTGTCTACACAGTTTCTTAAACAAACCTCCACACGTTGGTTAGATGAATATCCCTGAAGATGATCCTTATGTCTACCATGTTTCCCTGAAAATAAGACCCTGTCTTACATTTTTTTGAACCCTGAAATAAGCGCTTGGCCATATTGCCATGCGCTCAAAAGCCCGATTGGGCTTATTATCAGGGAATGTCTTATTTGGGGGGGAAACAGGATACTTATATACAATATCATATTTTCACCTGCATCTTCATATTGATTTAGGAGGCCTCATCTTGATTTTTGGAAAAGACTGAAGATATGGGAGAATTTCTGCCACTACTGTCTAGGCATCTTAAAATGTTGGATAAAAAAGCCATTACATTGGCAATGGTTGGCAAAATATCTTAAAAATAAGTAGTGCTAATTGGAAATTGGCATCCGTTTATGAATAGATTTCTTTGGAACCTTGGAATACTCATCCATTCATTCATTGTGATATGTTTCATATGTTAAATCCCTCAATAGACGCCAGATGCCTGAGACTGGCATGATATTTACCACTGTCTTGGATTGTAAATCTCTGCAGTAGGCATGGAGGATTCAGAGGCTACTCCATATCTTGCAAATAATTTTTATTTATTTTATAATAAATAAACTTTTACTTTGCAACATAGTTGTTAGTGTTCCTCGAGTACTGAAAATAAGTACATTTGAATATTTAGTTTGTCTGCCCATCTTCGTGAAGGGAGGTCAGGAAAAATACAAACTCATTTTAAATATGTTCTTCATTAATATCATGTCCCTATAATGATGACATTGAACTCTTAGGGCACAGTTAAGGATTTAAAAGCTGTCTGATACCTATTGTTACAAACTGCGGAGCAAAAGCTAGAGCAAGTATGTTGCTGTGATAGCTAAAAATTTTATAAATTTGGGGTGGGGGTATTAGTTATATGAAGATATGAAACTCAATCTACGTGTGGCTTTTATTTCCAAGCCTCTTTGCCTTCCTTGTGTTGAATTTCTGAATCCACAATTCTGATGTATCTGTTCAGCCATGTGCTTGGAGCTCCTCAGCATAATACTGTAAGCTTTCTCACAAAGTCTATTAAAAGGATGAAATAAGGGTAGGCAAAAGATAACAGGATCTGCTCTTTGGCAAGAGATATTTTTTTTGATTATTTAGCAATAGCAGCAAAAATATCTTTTCCTCCCACTTTCTAAATTATAATCTAACCATGGATAGTCAAGCAACACAATCTATACAGAATAAGGGGGTTATCAGCAGGATTAAAGGGATTTTAACGTTTGCAGAAGTACAACATTTTTAAGAAGAAGAAAAATAAGATTTTCTTTTAATCCTGTAATCTAGTAGGGTAGAACTTGGTCACTGAATAGGAAACGATTACTCAGTAGAGGAAGAAGGTGTAAGGATATTGAATCAATCCTGGGAAAAGAATGGGTAGCTGGCTGAAAATCTGAAATATAATATTTTGTTGCGACTCCCATTTGTTATTGTCAGCCACAAACAAACCCCAAACCATTTCCCAAGCATCCAGACTGTTAATAACCTTCCATGACATTGGAGCAACCAAGAATTTAATGGCGAGATAGACTTCATAAATGATAAATCATGTTTAGCTACTGACATGCATAAAATTATAATAGTATATCCATGAAGTTTGTCTTCGACAGTTTTATCTCTCTTTGCTTGCTGCAAAGCTCTTAAAGGATAGACAAACATGCGCATGTAGGCCATGATCTCAGCTCTCTTTGTTGCAGATTGTTCTACTGCAATCATGAACTCTCTTTCTAATCTCCAGCTATGGACTTGAAGCCGGTTCTTCCCATGGTGATGCAGAGTTCTTGCAACAGCAACAGCAACCCAGTGGATTTGCGGATGGATGCCCGGTCCAATGTGCCCACTATGGACCCAACTGCTCGGGAGCAGCAGCTGCAACAGGAACTACTGGCTCTGAAACAGCAACAGCAATTGCAGAAGCAGCTGCTCTTTGCCGAGTTTCAGAAGCAACATGAGCACCTAACACGGCAGCATGAAGTCCAATTGCAGAAACACCTCAAGGTAATTTGGAGATGAACTCACCAAGCTGTCTCCTTCTGAATATTACTTTTCGTGTCACACCCAGTATTGCCTATTTGAACTGGCAGCAGTTATCAAGAACCCTAGCCCAGCGGAAATGCTTTCAACAGGATTGTACCTGGTATGCATAAAATACCTTGTTTTGTCACAGAGTGACATAGGCTAATGATACTAGTGCCAGTTGCAACAGCATATTTCCTAAAATAAAAATCAATAGTTGAAGCATAGTTTCAGATTTACATACAAGCAAGATTGATGATTGATAAAACCCAGACCTAAGAGGCTTGGGGTTCTGGCTGACATTTCCTCTGACATTATAGCATGTTATAGCATCTCCAGTCTTGCAACCTGAGGCTCTCATGATAGCTGTGACCTGAATTACCATTTATCTCCTTTATTTTATTTCCTCTTTCTTCCTTGATCTTGCAACCATTGGCTACCACATCTAGAAAATAGCCAGTAGATGACAGTTACAAATAAATAAATCAGAAAACTACCATATTTTTCAGAGTATATTTTTCACCCTCCTAAAAGCGGATGAAAATTTCTGTGCGCCTTATACATCAAATGTTACATCTGCTGGGGGTTTGCTATACCTGGAGGGAGAGGGGAGGGAGTTGGTGCGGTGGCAGCTACAGGCAGCAGTAATCCCCAGTGCCTGGAACAGCTGATTGGCGGTATTCTGGGAGGCCGATCCAACCGCCAAGGCTGCGAAGGCTCCAGCGTTCCCCAGCTGAGGCAGCAACGCAGAGGTGAGATTCAGCCAGTTCGGCCAAACCACTTGTTAAAGTTGTATGCAGTTCGGAGAATTGGCTGATCCCTCCACTGGCTGGCCTGGGCGCCCTCTATGTCTGCCTGCCCTGTTCGTCAAGCAGTTTGGCAAGGACGCCCTGCCGCCGTCTGCTTCCCTGCTGCAAGTACGCCTTTCCCGGCCTGCATGGTGGGCTGTGAGCCCAGAGACATGGAAAGAGAGAGGTATGGCTTGGCTTCCAGTGCCGGAAAGGGCAGGCAAGGGAAGTGGCTGGGTTGCTGGGTTGCCGCCATTTTTCATTGTAGCCTGTCTTGCCATCCCTTCCCCCCACCCCAATCTCTGGTCATGGCATGGCTTCCTGTCCCTTACTTACCACAGCCATTGATGCAATTTTGGGGGTGGGAGACTGTGTTTTATTAGCAAGGGCAGGCATGCTAGAGCCTGCCTGTTTGTCTTTATAAAGATAACATTGTTAGATTTTTTTGGTGGGGGGGGGGAGAATCACCAGTGTCCTAAAATTCTCAGCTTGCTATTGTTAGTTTAGGGCAGGGAAGAAAGGGTACCCAACTCCCTGTCTGACTGGCTTCTTCCTGGCAGTTCTTTCTCTGCTTTGGCGTCGGACATCAAAGACAAGGCTTTTGTGGGCAGAAGAGCTGCACTGTAATGGAGAAATGGGCAACGGAGTGGCCAGTTTAAGGGAAGGAGGCTTTTTTCTTCTCTTTCCCTCCTTCTCATATTTCCTCATAATAAGCTAATGTGGCATGTACTATATACCGGTATCTTATGTATGAATGTATGAACATGGTTTCAGCTACAGTGCTCTCATAACAATAAAGGACACATTACTGACAGTTCTTTCTTGCAGAAAAATACTACAGTACCTCTTCACGCTACACACTGGTACAAGGATGTCAAAGCAGAAAAGACAAGCATATAAAATTTCTTTTAAACTAGAAGTAGTAAAATACGCTGAAGAACATGGAAACAGAGCAGCAGAGAAACATTTTGGGCCACCTCCAACTGAAAAAATGATAAGAGAGTGGAGGAAACAGGTCGATCAGCTGCAAAAAGTAAAAGATAAAAACAAGCACAATTTTCGTGGGTTTGCTGCAGTGGTGAAATGTAAAATTTGTTACTACCAGTTCTGTGGACGTGGCTTGGTAGGGGGGGGTTAATGTGACTGAGTGGGAGTGGCCAACTTTTTTTTTTTAACTTTTAAAAGCATTTTTCCTACAACCTCTTCGGCTGAAGAGGTTGTAGAAAAAATGATTTTAAAAGCCTCTGACGATCCCAGCTGAGTTGCTTGATCATCAGAGACTTTTTTTTCTTTTAAAACCATTTTTTTACAACTTTTTCGGCCAAAGAGGTTGTAAAAAAATGCTTTTAAAAGCCTCTAAGGATCAGGCAACTCAGCTGGGATCGTCAGAGGCTTTTAAAAGCATTTTTTCTACAACCTCTTCGGCTGAAGAGGTTGTAGAAAAAATGCTTTTAAAAGCTTTTTTTTTAACTTTTAAAAGCATTTTTTCAGCCGAAGAGGTTATAGAAAAAATCCTTTTAAAAATAAAAAAAAAAGCCTCTGATGATCGCGCAGCTCAGTTGGGATTGTCAGAGGCTTTTAAAAGCATTTTTTAAGCTGGGCATGGGGAGTGGGGCAGGGATTTTTGCTACCAGTTCTCCAAACCACCTGCCACTATCAATACCGGGTCGGGCGATCCGGTCCAAACTGGGAGCATTTCACCCCTGGTTTGCTGCAAGGTGACCACAGTTAGAGGTGGACATGAAAGAATGAATCACATGTCAACGGAATAATGGCTTTGTAGTTTCTACAAAAATGGTAATATATGAAGCCTAACGCATTGCTTGTAAAGAAAGGCATTCGGGATTTTACTGGATCACTGTCGTGGTGCTTCAGATTTATGAGGCAATATGGCTTTACTATGCGCACCAAAACTAGAATTGCGCAAAAAATGCCAAAAGAGTATGAATCTAAGATTCTGTCTTTTCATACATTTGTAATAGATGCTAGGAAGAAAAATAATTTTGAAATTGGCCAGATTGAAAATATGGATAAAGTCCCGCTAACCTTTGATGTGCCATCTAATAAGACTTAATCTGAAAGGTGCCAAAAGCATAACCATGAAAACCTCAGGACATGAGAAAACACATTACATGGTTGTGTTGTCCTGCTGTGCAGATGGCACCAAATTGCCACTGATATTAATTTTCAAAAGGAAAACCTTTCCAAAAGAAGCGATTCCAAAAGGAGTTGTGCATGTTCATGAGAAAGGATGGATGGATGAAAATGGAATAAGGGTATGGGTAGAAAAAGTGTGGTCCAAACGTCTTGGAGAGCTTCTGAAAAAATCTGCTTTGTTAGCGCTCAACCAGTTTAGAGCACATATTAGAGAAACCACAAAGAAGAGATTTAAAAAAGGGAAGATTCATCTAGCTGTAATTACTGTCTTACCAGCCAGTTGCAACCTCTTGATGTTTTCATCAACAAACCATTTAAAATCTATATGCGAACTCAATCTTCAAGATTGAAGATTGAGTTTAGAGATGGATTATGGATTAAATTTTTTTTTTTTGATGATAGTTCGAATGATTGCTTATATTGTATACTTGTTTGATCATAAAATAAAAACTTTTCTTTTAAAAATAAAATAAAATAAAATAAAATCTATATGCGAGAAGAGTGGGAAAAATGGATGACTGCTGGTAACCATGATCTGACACTATTGGACGAATGAAGAGGCCCACTATCACTCAAGTTTGTGAATGGTTTAAAACATCATGGCGCTCAGTGAAGGACGAAATCATTGCACAGTTATTCAAAAAATGTGGCATTAGCAATGGCTTAGATGGAACTGAAGATGATCTCATATATGAAGATAGCGAAGAAAGTGATATCAGTGACTGAGCTTCCTAAATTCTGAACTAGCAATGATGAATTCTTGCAGTTTCCAGAAAATTAGAAGAGCACTTGAACTTAAAGTCTCTCCTCATTTGTTAATGACAGTGATTCTTAATACCACTGTTGACTTTACATGGTTGAAATATTATTCTGTTATGTTTTATTAAATATATTACTACACCATTTGGTTCAGAATATTTTGTTTTCTTGTTTTCCTCCTCTAAACTTAGGTGCATCTTATAGTCTGAAAAATACGGTAATTCTTCGCTGCTATATAATAATTGTCTAGAATTTCGCTGACATCTCACCACAAGAGGGGGTCGACTGGTTGATCGGACCACCGTGAGAGGGTGGTTGGGTCTATCCCCCCACCCTTGGACTGTGGTCGACCTGGAACCTGACTTCGTCCTCTGTTGTGAGGGGACAGTGGACCTGGTCTTGTTGAAAATGCTCTTGAGACTCCCATTCCATGTCTCTCCCATGGACCTTCTATATGGACCCCTAGGATATGGTTGCTCCCATCCTCTGTGGTCAAGATGTATTCCGCAGCGGAGCTTCTTGGTCTGCGAGACTCCCCCCTCTCGCAGGCTTGGCCCTCCACTCTATCGAGGGCCTACCTCGATGACGGGCTTTGGAACCCCGAGAGGTAGCATGCCGCAAAGAGGGGGTTGTGGGGTTTTTTAAAATTGTCTTTTTGTAATCTTTTAAGGGGCTTAGGGTGGGGGGTGGGGAGGGAGGGGCATAGGTCAGGCTCGTTACAGGGCATGGAACGGAAGGCGGGGAGCGGGGTGTGGAGGAGCTCAGTGTGGATAGGGTGGAGGGCAATTCTATCAGGACCGTGGTTGGGAGGGGCAGATATGGGGGGAGTAGGGGGCCACATCAGGTGGTGGGGGCACGCACCCGCTATCTCCAAGCGGTGGCATGCCTCAGCCCCCATGACTCTTCTCGTCTCCCCGGCTGTCCAGAGTCTCAGAGCCCAGGCCTTAGACTGATGCTGTGCAACCCCAGGTCCGTGGTTAATAAGGCCCCCCTCATTTGTGAGCTAATACAGGAGGGGGGTGCGGACCTGGCAGGTATTACAGAGACCTGGCTGGGCCAAGAGGGGGGGGTCCCCCTCGTAGAGATGTGCCCACCAGGTTTCCGCACATTCCATCAGCCAAGGGCCCAGGGCAGGGGTGGGGGGGTGGCGGTCGTTATAAAGGAAGGTCTTGATCCGAGGGAGGCCACTGTACCTCAGATAGCCGGATGTGAGTCTCTCCTGGTGAAGTGGGGCCATGGGATGCAGGTGGGCCTGCTGATCGCGTACCTGGCTCCCTG